CTGTCATTTCAAGGGCAATGTGACGATCGCTCATATCCTTTTCACTTTTTTGTGTCTTCTTTGAGTCACAGTTTGTCATACGGCTTTCAACAAGATTTGTTGAGTAAATGTGCAATATGAGCACTTTTTCGGAAATGTCCAAGGCAGCTTTAGGATGACCTTAATATATTTCACTTAGATGCAGCATACAGCGATGTAAAAAAAAAAGATAAAAGACAACAAAACAAAAAAACACAAAAAGTAAATAAATAAATAAAATAAAGATGAAATATTCAGACACGTTTATAGCCACATTGCCAATGCTTTAACTTAAGAAAAGAGAAGAAAAAAAATATTTGGTGGATTAAACCTGTTTTTTTTTAATAACAATAATAAGTTTTAATTTAGTTTTAATTTTCTGTCATTTATATATTATAATATTTTTTTTATATAATATATAGTCATAATATTTTTTCAACACATTTCTAAACATAATAATTTTATTAACTCATTTCTATTAACTGATTTATTTTATCTTTGCCATGATGACAGTAAATAATATTTGACTAGATATTTTTCAAGACACTTCTACACAGCTTAAAGTGACATTTAAAGGCTTAAATAGGTTAATTAGGTTATCTAGGCAGGTTAGGTTAATTTGGCAAGTTACTTTATAATGATGGTTGGTTCTGTAGACTATCAAAAAAATATCTTAAAGGGGTTAATAATTTTGTCCTTTAAATTATGTTTTTTATTCTAGCCAAAATAAAACAAATAAGACTTTCTCCAGAAGAAAAAATATTATCAGACATACTGTGAAAATCTCATTGCTCTGTTAAACATCATTTGGGAATTATTTACATTCATACATACAAGTGTGCCTAATAATGTGGCCAGTGATTGTATACAACATTACTCCATTAAAATACAGCGGTGTACATATATATAATATATATAAATTCAGTTGAAGTCAGAATTATTAGCCCCATTTAATTTTTTTTCTTTCTTTAAATATTTGTGAGTGAGTGTGTGTGTGTGTGTGTGTGTGTGTGTGTGTGTGTGTGTGTGTGTGTGTGTGTGTGTGTGTGTGTGTGTGTGTGTGTGTGTGTGTGTGTGTGTGTGTCTGTGTGTGTGTGTGTGTGTGTGTGTGTGTGTGTGTGTGTATATGTGTGTGTGTATGCTCTTTTAAAATCTTTTCCCCCTTTGAAGATAATATATTTTATTATAAGAATAATTTAAAATAAGAACAAATGTTTTTGGAAGAAAGTAATAATGCTATTCAAAAAGCATAAATAATCATGGAAAAATAAAAACACAAATCACAAAATACAAAAAACTGCCAATTTACAACTATTTTTGCAGGATTTCTTTATGTAGATGAAGTCAAATTATTAGCCCCCTGTTTATTTTTTCTTAAATTTTTGTTTAACAGAGAGAAGATTTGTTCAACACATTTCTAAACATAATAGTTTTAATAACTCATTTCTAATAACTGATTTCTTTTTTCTTTGCCATGATGACAGTAAATAATATTTGATAATGAATAAAGTGACTTTTAAAGGCTTAACTATGTTTATTAGGTCATTGTATGTTGATGGTTTGTTCTGTAGACAATCAAAAAAATGCTATATTGTTTAACGGGGCAAATAACATTGATCTTTTAAACGTGTCTTAAATGATAAAAACTGGTTTTATTCTAGCTGAAATAAATAAAACAAATAAGAATTTCTCCAGAAGAAAATATATTACAGGAAATACTGTGAAAATTCCTTGCTCTGTTAAACATCATTTAGGAAATATTTAAAAAAGGAAAGAGTAATATAAAGTCAACTGTATATCGTGCGTGTGTGTGTGTGTGTGTGTGTGTGTGTGTGTGTGTGTGTGTGTGTGCGTGTGTGCGTGCGTGTGTGCGTGCGTGTGTGTGTACTTTGAATTTTCAAGTGGTCTCACAATTTTTAGGTGTAGATGTAAAACAATTTTTTTATTATTAAATAAAGGGTGGCGGGCACTCAAATATCATGTTGTTGTATAATACAAGGCCTATGTTCCTCTCAATATTCACATTATTTCTATAATGCCCCCTTTTGACATAAAGAACACACTCATTTCCTTTAGTACTGTACTGTACATGTTGTTCATTCATTGACGTCAGGGAGGAAAAAAAAACACTTCCCTCAGCAGTCATGGTTCTCTCTTTAGGGCCACATCTTAGTTTCCTGGCCTGAAGTTCTTCTAGAGACACTAAAAAGATTGAATAAACAATGAACATGAAATAAAAAATAACTAACTCACCAGAAGGATCAGATTAATCTGCATGCCTTGTGGTATATGATATTGTTTTCAGAGCAGGCTTCTATTTTAAAACAAGAGAATGTTCTCTCAGACAATGCAAAACCTGCTCTAAAAATACTGTCCATTTAACTGTCAATCAACTGGAGGACTGAGAAAACAACTCCCTCGCTTTCCTTCTCTCTCCCTCACGATCTCTCATTTACTGTCTCATCCTCCGTTGTTCAAGACACACTGTAATTTCTTCCACAGACTGGGGGAAGAGTATCCACCCATGAACAGTATCATAGATTAAATAAAAAATGTTGGAGACTTTAATTGAAAATTTGATATGATAGAACATTATGGATTGAGAGAATTGGGAACCATTAAAAATAAATCTATGCATAACAGTTGTGTGATTCATTTATTACATTAACATTCACTTTCTAAAAATATCAATATATTTTAACATTCATTCATTTTTTTTTTCAACTTAGTCCTTTTATTAATCCGGGGTCGCCTCAGTGGAATGAACCGCCAACTTATCCAGCACGTTTTATGCAGCGGATGCCCTTCCAGCTGCAAACCTATCTCTGGGAACCATCCATACACACTCACAAACTACGGACAAATTACAATTCACATGTACCATCTGTCTTTGGACTGTGGGGTAACTGGAGCACCCGAAAGAAACCCACGCGAATGCAGGGAGAACAAGTAAACTCCACACAGAAACGCCAACTGACCCGACCAAGGCTCAAACCAGCAACCTTCTTGCTGTGAGGCGACAGCACTACCTACTGCACCACTGCATCGCCCTCATTTTAACATTATTATATATTATAATAATTTATATAGTATTCGATATACTACAATACATATACTAAATACATAAAGATTCTAGATTCGGCACTTCTATTTGACAAACAGGTAAATGCAGTAATTAAATCTTGTTTTTTGTACCGGAGAATATTAGCCAAAGTGAAAGGCTTTTTGGACTCATGCAGAATTTGAGAGATTAATCCATGCCTTTGTATCATCACGCATGGACTACTGTAACTCAGTTTATAAAGGTATCGGCCAATCTTATATAAATCGTCTTCAAGTGGTCCAAAATGCAGTCGCTAGGCTTCTTACTGGCACCTGCAAGTTTGAACACATTACTTCTATCCTGTGCTATCTAAATTGGTTGCTGATATGTTTTAGAATTGAGTTACAAAATGTAATGTATCCTTTTAAGGTATAAAATGGCTAGACTCATCTGGCAGATGTTTAAGTCATTGAACCAGAAAATACTAGTCATTCCCAGATCGAAATTAAAGAAAAAAGGAGATTGAGCTTTCTTTGTGGTAGGTGCCAAAATGTGGAACGGGCTACCTATTTTGAAATTGAGCTTTGAAATTGGTAAAAAAAAAAATTAATCCTACTGTACCTATCTGGTGTCTTGTTATTTGTCATTGATGCTGTGTTTTATACATACAGTTGAATTCAGAAGTACCCATTTATATATATATATATATATATATATATATATATATATATATATATATATATATATATATATATATATATAAGATAATCTGATGAAGGTGTTTCATCTGTTTCAAAGAAAAATTGTTATCAAGCATCAAAAGAATAATGCTTTAAATTTTGTTATATTTCGAATGTGTCCTAACTGCACAGTAAATTATACATTTAACTTATAATACAATACTTGCTAATAGTACATTTGACCAACATTTAAAATGCAATAAACATTTACCACAGGTAATTTCAAAAATAATTAACGTATATTATAATTACCTGTGGCATCAAGGTGGCGCAGTGGGTAGCACGATCACCTCACAGCAGGAAGGTTGCTGGTTCGAGCCCTAGCTGGGTCAGTTGCCATTTCTGTGTGGAGTTTGCATGTTCTTCCTGCGTTTGCGTGGGTTCACTCCTCCCACACAGTCCAAAGACATGCGCTATAGGTGAATTGAATAAGCCGTAGTGTATATGAATGCAAGAGAGTATGGTTGTTTCCCAGTGTTGGGTTGCGGCTGGATGGGCATCTGCTGTGTAAAACATGTGCTGAATAAGTTGGCAGTTCAATGCGCTGTGGCGACCCGTCAACCCTGATTAATAATAGGACTATGCCAAAAAGAAAACTAAAAAATGAATGAAAGATTGAATATTCACTTATCTAGAGGATAGTTCACCAACAAATTAAAATCTACTCACTGTTTAATCACCCATAAGTGGTTTGTAACTTTTATGAGTTTCTTTTTTCTGTTGCACATTCATTAATATATTTAAAGAAAGCTGAAAAAAAAACTGTAACCATTGACCTCCATAGAAGGAAAAACAAACACCATGCAAGTTAATAGTTACAGCTTTTGCATTCAAAAAAGAAAGAAACTCAAACATGTGAGTAAATGATGAGTAAAATGTTAACAACGTTTTGTGAAACATCCCTTTAAGGTCAGAACATATTTCATTTTTATTAGTCAAACTGAATAATGAATATTTGACCATTATACAACAAAATTTAAAACAGTATATTATAACAGTATACAGACCAGCCTATCTGGTCTCCAAACATAAACTCGTAAACTATAATCTATTACCTTAAATTAATAAAAGCTAATGAAATTAAATGGTATAAACACGTGAATGTTCACTGCGGAGAGTTTTGTTGACGGTACAGCTTGTACAGTCTGTTGACGGTAAAGTATTGCATAATTTCATTGACTGGAAACAGCAGTGGTGTGTTGTAATGCACAACTGAACGTCATTTATCCAGAAAAAAAGAAAATAAATAAATAAATAAATAAACTAACACGGTATAAAACCGCAGGAGTAGGAAACAGCCAGTGGGATGCCATAAGGAGCACTGGCTGACACGAATCGTGTGTTGTGTGATGCTCTGGACGCAGTGAAACCGGTCTTTAGAGGGTTAAATTTCACTTTGAGGGGGAGTTACCGAATCTGCAGTAACATCGGAGCGCATTCCAGAGAGCTGCCAACATCCCGGGAATAAGACCTTCAGCGTCAACATCTCACAGCCACATCACGGGAATATACCGCACTACCGGCCACGCGTCGACTGTCTCGTCAAGCCGCGTTTTCTCCGCCGGTTCGGAGTATGCGAGCTCCGCTTACTGTCTCCACGTAGGTGAGTACTATCACGTTTTCCTAGAACGAATACTGTGTCAGAAAACCTAGCAATTTTGCTATTATTATGGAACCCGTGCTTTAAGAGGCCGTTACATGTATATAATGTGTTTGGTTATTATTTAATTTATTTATTTGTATCTGTTTCCATTCACTGCAGCAGAAGCTCATACTGTCTAAAGTCCTCATGCCTGTCGCTGTACCGCCTTATAGGATTTTTACAGATTAACAGTACAGTGAAAACATGCTATTTTAGCCTATATAAATGTAAAATTGTGGGTTTCAATAAAAGTCATCTAATGAACTGACCATTGAGTCGTCGGTATATTACTAAAACATCAAGTTTAACAGGTATATAGAAGAGATATCTTTCATTAAGGTCTGTGTCTAACATATCGCAGACCTTTTTTGTTTGCAAATAGGACCTGTTGGTTCTCGTGACAAATGCGCTGCAAAAGAGCTTGATAGGACCCTGATGTTGGCTGCTGGTCTGACCTATATTCACAGATGTTTGCATTCAACAGTGACCACATCCAATATCAAACAGCTTCATGTTGACACCACACTCAATGGCATTTATCTAGTAAATAGCTTCCCTATGGTAGACCTTAAATAACACACAAACAAAAAAGAAAGAATAGCATTATTAGAATTTTAATTCATTTGACGAGATCCAGAAACATTTAGAGCTCATCTGTGTCTTTTTTAAAGATTGATTTACTACAAATTGTGTAAGGTGTGATCACATTTGGTAGATTTGGTTCAATAAAAACAAAGTTAATTTGTGATTGTTTTGTTGGTGCTGTCATTTGAATAGTTGTCAAACAAGACCCCTCAAAACATCCACATTTGAACTCTGGGTCAGCTAAAATATGAAATCAACACAAAAGCCAAAAGTATCTCTAAAAATGACAGTGTTTAAGAGTGTCCTGTCCTTTTACTAGTTACAATGTTGCCCATTAAAATTCAATACAAGCATTAAAATACAATTACAAAATACAAAGAAGATTCAATACATAGATCTTTTCGCAGCAGGTCTTTATTTGTTTAATTGAAAAATTCTCGACTGATAAAAATGCCATCACAAATTCATTCATTTAACTAAGTTCTTTCACAAAATATAAAGCATACATATACATATACAGTGGCCTGAAGAGAAGCCATCGCATCTGAGCAAGTTGAGAGTCATCCCTCAGCATCCTTCAATGTTCTTCTCTTATATTATAACTCATATTGGTAGCATTATTTGCTTATAATTATAATAAGCATCTAGTTCATAAATATTCAAAATATTCATTGAGCGCATTCTTCAACCTTTTCTTGTACTTTTATATGGAGTAATTTACTGCTATCAACAAGTTTATTAGATTTGCGTGATTTAATGATTATTTGAAGTGAGAATTGTGTTTATTTTCTAACTTAAAATGCTGTTTTAGGTTCTGCAGAAGTGCTGTAAATCATGTCTTAACCCACCACACTAATCAACAGCCCCCATATAATCCAATTAGTAGTTGTTCTGCTTTAAAAATGAGTGTGAATGTTAAGCAAAACAGGAACAAATGGAACTTTTTTAATTTAGAATAAAAATAAAAACTCACTTAAATAATTCTGATTCAATATTTTCCCAATAAACATAATTTCTACAACGTTTTTTTTACACTTCCCAGACGAACCACGGGAGTCCTGAGAGTGATAATGACCTCATATGTAGATATGTATATAGTAGGAGCTTAAATAATAGTTCTCATTATTTACAGCAAACACATCGTTGGACTGCTGTGCTATTTTAACTAGCTTTGGTGAGTCCATATACTTGTGGTTGCAGGTATGATCTCAGTTCAAGAGAATGTTTGTCATTAACTCCCGGTTGATCTTTATGGCAGTGCAAGTCTTGGAAACCCTAAGCCTTTAAGCGTCAGGACTGCTGAAGTAAAAGTGATGAGAGGACAAGAGTAATTTCAGTCACTTTAGCAGTACCGTTTCTTCCTTTCCATGCATGGCATTTTCATCCCGTTTACTTCACCATCCCCCATGGTACTTTTAGAGGAGGAAATGCCACAGTAAATACGTTCCTGTTCCTTTTACAAAGCTGGAAATGCAGAGTGAACATGTAACCTTCTTTTACTGGCCTGACTTTGATGCAGGCAGAAAATAAAAGCCTGTTTGAAACGTTGAACGAAAGTGTCTTTGTTCCCCACATTGGTCATGGACAGATGCTTTCCATCTTACCGAACACAGAAAATGTGCTTTTACTTAAGTAGTGTAAATGACTTTACCAAGGACATGGAGCCAACACCGTGTTTTACAGTTTTAGAATGTGAATTGCCGTTTTGAAATGATGCTGGCTATGACTCGCGTCAGGACATTCTTCTTTCTCCTGTTGGTACAATGTGTGCTGCTTTACTGGAACCAGATGTTGGCACTCAGCGCAGTTTCTCTTCTGTCCTCCATTCTGAACTCTTCAAATGCTATCAGCACCTTTTCCTCCTCCTTCTCGGTTCATCAAAGACCAGCATATTTAAGTGGAGAATCCAAAAACAAAGGCGACTTTCCATCACTTTGAACCTTTATAAGATTCCTCTCCGCTGACTCTGCTGTTTTTCTTGTTTCTGTGACATTTTATTGCACAAAAGGGACCGCTATTGTATTTCATCGTAGACATATATAGGTCAGTAGAGAAGTCATGGCTGTTTTTATGTGTAGAGTGGTATTTCACTGTGGTGGCCACATGCTGAGGTAAGTGACCTTTGCCCTAAGGGTTTGTTTGTACTGCACTTTCCCCTCTGCTAAAACAATGAAATTCAGATTTCTCATTGATTCAATATTTTGTATATCTACTACAGTAGGTCTAGTATTTTAAAGAGACAGTTCATCCAAAAAAGTGTATTTACCTCATGAAAAGAAAAAAAAAAAAAAAAAAATATATATATATATATATATATATATATATATATATATATATATATATATATATATATATATATATTTACATACACACACACACACACACACACACACACGCATGCACAAACACACGAACACACACACACACACACACACACACACACACACACACACACACACACACACACACACACACACACACACACACACACACACACACACAGTTGAAGTCACAATTATTAGCCCCCTTTGAATTTTCTTTTTTTTTTTTTTGTTATTTTACAAATGATGTTTAATAGAGCAAATACATTTTCACGGTATGTCTGATAATATTTTGTCTTCTGGAGAAAATCTTATTTGTTATATTTTGGCTAGAACAAAAGCAGTTAAAAAAATTAAACCCATTTTAAGATCAGAATTATTAGCCCCTTTAAGCTATATTTTTTCAATAGTCTACAGAGCAAACCATCATATACAATAACTTGCCTAATTAGCCTAACCTGCCAAGTTAACCTAATTACCCTTGTTAAGCCTTTAAATGTCACTCTAAGCTGTATAGAAGTGTCTTGAAAAATATCTAATCAAATATAATTTACTGCCATCATGGCAAAGATAAAATAAATCAGATATTAGAGATGAGTTATTACAATTATTATGTTTATAAATGTGTTGAAAAAATCTCAATTAAACCAAAATTAGGGGGGGAAAAATGGGGGCTAATAATTCAGCTGGGCTAATAATTCTGACTTCAACTATATGTATATTTATATTTTTTCTTTTAATGAATCTCTCCAATTATTTTATAAAACAGCTTATGGTTGAAGTCAAAATTTACAGTTTTTGCCTTGCCTACTTAACATAATATAGTAGTCTTTAAATTGACCCAGCAGGCAAACAACATCATAAGACGTGACTATTAGGTTAGATTTAGGTCATGATGTCAGTTGACCAAAATTCAATGTCTAGTCAGCATCTAAGGACAGCTTTATTTTGATGTCCAATAACGATGTCAAATTACCTTGATATTTATGATTACAGGTTGTGTTGAAAAGTGACCAAAATTCAACGTCTGATAGATCTCATAGTGGTAATGTCCACACAACATCAAGGTGTAACATAATTAGATGTTAATATTTGGTTAGTTTTAGGTTGATTTTAGGTTGAACATTGACGTCAGCCTGACGTCGGAACCCGATTTCCATTTCTAAACAAAATCCAATGTCCCCATGACATTGGGGTACATTGGGGTACAACTTCAATATGATGACATGTTGACGTCCTGTGCCTGCAGGGGAACTTTAAGCTGAATACACGTACTGTATCTTGCAAAAGAAGTGGAAAAATATTATGTACTGTCTTCATGGCAAAGACAGAAATGATTTATTAGATATTAGTTATTAAAAGGATTGTTTAAATTGTGTTGGGAAAAATCTCTCCATTAAGAAACACTTGTGAAATATTTTTAAAAGAATGAAAATTTTACAGAAGGGTAAATCATTTTGATTTCAACTGTATATAGCTTTGATATGATTTATTTATGGTATTTGCATCTAATTAAAATTATGACAAATGTGATTTTATTTACATAGTAAACATATTTAATTCAAGTAAATGGTCTACTTTAATATTGTACAAAAATATTATGCTAAAACAAAAAAAGTTAATATTATATATATAGTTATATATATTTTATTGTTTGAGTGTTTTAACATGTGTCTAAATGATTCTTGTTTTAAGTTTGTCTGAAAATATTTTTGTGTCTGTTTTTTTTTTTTTTTTGTATAATTCCATGGAAAAGTTACAAAGAAAGACATTTTATTAGATGACTTCTGTTAATCATTTTCATAATAATATAAAATATTAAGAAACAAACACAATACAATTAAGCAGGACACCTTCTGATGCGTGTTTAAAAAAATTTATTGAAGCTATGTGCAGTATTTATGGAACAACTAGAGGGACACTGACTGCCCTGTTACATGAGGCTTTGACCCACAACAGGACAAACTTTTGACGACTATATTATTCATTACAGAATCCATGGGACTCATAGGTCGCCATACTGCAGAATTTAGACGTTTAGCCTTCACTGAAACA